TGTGTGGAGAGGATGATGAGTCTGTGGAGCACCTTTTTTTTCAAGTGCAGGTATGCGTTAACAGTATTGAAATTGGTTCCCATCAACTGGGTTGGACCTCAGGGCAGAGATTCTTTTAAGAATTGGTGGTGGCAAATTTGTTAGCTTGACAAGGATGAGACTTCTGAAGCACGTATACAATTATCGATGTATATTTTGTGGTGGCTTTGGAAGTCTCGGAACTTGTAGGTCTTTGAAGGAGTGCGCAGACCAGAACATATAGTAGTGCAAGCAGCTGTTAAAAACTGAGAAGAGTTTCTCCAGTTTAATGTGAGCTGAATTATATTGTCTGTAGGCTGTTAGAGGTGTTGTGCACTTTTTTTATCTTTCATTTTCTGGAATTCTGGTTATGGTCGGTTTTCTTGTGTTTTTCTTATTGTTTGGAGTATCTTTTCCATGAGTATTAGATGGTTGTAAGGTTGATAGTGGTGTTGTATTGGTTGTTCTTTAGGCCACTATCGAGTGGTGCTCTCATGTGTCGGCTTGGAAAGATGTACGAACCTTTTGTTATTTAATGAGAATTTTCTATCGTTGGAAAAAAAAATAATCAAAACAATTGTAAAATTTGCTAGTGAAAACAACAAAATCAACTACCCGATTGGCAAACAAGTGAAGTCCTTGTAATACATTCCATAGGTTCAATCTATATATATATAATTGTTAGCATATATCATTTAATAAAACTTATTTAATAAAACCTCTAAAATTTTTCCTCCATTTTCGGTTACAAAATTTATCATTAATATTTTTTTATTTCTCACATTAATACATCCTATTGAGTGTAATTATCTATGTTTCTATTATATAATATAATAGTTATTGTTAGTACCAACTAATAATAATTCACAATAAATATAAAAACAATTGCTTCAAGTTATTTATTTTAACATCAATATTATCTTTTTCTTTGTATCTCATGAAAAAAATTATTTAAAAACAATTATTAAATTATTTTAATAGGATAGTCAGACAACTTTAGAAGCTTATAAATAATTGTTTAATAATAATAATAATAAAATAATAATAATAATAATAATAATAATAATAATAATAATAATAATAATAATAATAATAATAATAATAATAATAATAATAATCAAACTGTTATTATCTCATGATAATAAACAATTGTTCATAATAATAAAATTATTAATTTATTTTTTCTAATTGTAATATCCCGATATTTTAATCGGTATAAATTACGTTTTAGTTCCGATATAATAATGTTATCGATTATTATTTTCGGAATTAATTATTTTTCAGTCGGAATTACCGAAATCTATTTTCGACGTACCGTTTACGTTTGAAATAAATTTTGGTAATTAAGTACTATGTTTAATTAAGTAATTAAACATAGATTGTGATTAGTTATGTCAATTAATCACCTTATGCCGTGAGTTTTAATCATTTTTGCCCTAATTGCTTATTAAAGCCGTAAGTTTCCCTTCATGTGGGGAGATTGAATTTCTCTCAAACTTTAGTTGATACGTGGCGTCATTAGAGAGTGCTTAGTCACCTCCAAAGCACCTCATAACTTAGCAAATGTTGAAGGGAGAAGGGGCCACGTAGAGCACACATCATCTCCCCTCATGGCCGTGCACATATAAAAGAAATCACTTGGGAAAATTTTCGTCATTTTCCCTTAGGAACCGATTAGCATATACTCAGCATATATAAAACCCCTTCAACAACAGCCTAAATTCAGCAAGTAATTTCCCTTAAATTCTCCATCAATATCGCACGGCAAGTGAAGGCACCGCTCGGAGTGCGCGCGAGGAAGAAGCCACGTTTATTTTCCGATTCGATCGTGCAATTAGAGAGGTAATTCCTTCCTCATGTTAGAATCATGTTAGTAAGTTCAATTCAGAGTTAATTGTTCGGAGAATTTTGAGGAATTCCAAGAAAATTATGCTTAAGTCCGTGTATGCCTAAGTAATTTTATCACCGAACAAGTTTCGATTTCTTCCGGCAACTCTCGAACCATAATCATTTAAATGATCAGTTTAGTCTATTTTATGTTCAGCATGATCAGCT